GATATCTTACTCACAGGAAGTTTAAAATGTTACTTACAGGTCGAAGACTCCTTTTGTTTCAAAGACTCCAGTGCTCAACTTCCTTTATTCCAACCAGCTTATTTCACAATCTCAAATATGAGTTGAGCAGCAACTTATATCGCACCTGTGAACAATGAACCACTCCCATCACATAGCAAAGTGAAAGGAAAAAAAATGCTATTTGAGAAGTGACGAAAAATAAGAAAAACAGTGTTTTGAATACTGTTAGTAAAGAGTCCAACAAAAAAAAGCAGACAGAGGAAACACATGTTCCCAAACCAGTCACTCAGCAGTCCAGGTACCTCAAATAGGAGCTCAACTCCTAAGTTTTATATCCACTTATTCCAATCCACTTGTTCATAATTCCAACATAATAGTTGCTGCAAGACCAAGAATAGAGGGGGGATCGTGCAATGGGGACACTTGTGCAAGTTATAAGTGCCTAAAGGGAAATTTGTAACCTCAATCCCTAATCTATCTAAAACAAGTATAACAAAAAGTTTTCCCTTGGGGCGGGGGGAGAGTTAAGCTTTGGCTGTATAGGGGCTTTAGTGACTTTTTTGTTTAACTAGGTAAACAATAAACAATAAATATCATCCATGATTATTTCATATTACATTTTCAGCCAACAGGTTGTCCGTTAGGTTCCTTTTCCACAAGTTTACTATTCTTAGCTGCTTTTCTAAAAACAGAAAGCTATTTGTTTATAGGGCTCAATGAGGATAAGGAGGAGTGTTTTAATTTTGGAGGCGAAGGATTATAGATCTAAGGCATTGAAACAACTTAACAAATTGGTATATCACAAGTTGAAAGAGAATGCCAACCCTGTATTCCAAAAAGCCTTATGTGATCTTATACCTGTTGGTTGGGTTAGTATATAAAAGGTATAGTCACCCGTTACCCTTATTTTCCACCACCTACCCGGCAAAAATTCACTAAACCACCTTAGGGTTGCTCAACTGTGCATCTTCTGGTTGGAGAGAAGGAGTGGACTCTTACTTGTTGTAACCCTTTGTAGTGCATAGCGGACTCTTACTTGTTACCCTTTGTAGTGCATAGCGGACTCTTACTTGTAACCCTTTGTAGTGCATAGCGGACTCTTACTTGTAACCCTTTGTAGTGCATAGCGGACTCTTACTTGTAACCCTTTGTAGTGCATAGCGGACTCTTACTTGTAACCCTTTGTAGTGCATAGCGGACTCTTTCTTGTAACCCTTTGTAGTGCATAGTGGACTCTTACTTGTAGCCCTTTGTAGTGCATAGCGGACTCTTACTTGTTGTAACCCTTTATAGTGCATAGTGGACCCTTACTTGTTACCCTTTGTAGTGCATAGCGGACTCTTACTTGTAACCCTTTGTAGTGCATAGCGGACTCTTTCTTGTAACCCTTTGTAGTGCATAGCGGACTCTTTCTTGTAGTGATTGGGTTTCCATACACTTTCATGTGCACATAAATCAAAGTGTGAAGGGGGAGCTTAGGGTCATTAGTGTAGTTTCACTTTCAGACCTAGCTTCATTCTCTGGGATTTTTTCTATATTTCACAACATTTCTTTAACATGTACAAAGATCTCGGTACCGAGCAGAGAAATGCAGATTTTCAGGCTCCTGTCATGTTACTCCCACTGCTTGAGTTCCCGTAAGTTTGGTGGAAAAAATTTAATGAAAGGGTGTGCTGCATTCTTAGTCAGAAAACAGTCAATTCTGTTTCCTTAAAATGCAAACTAGCAAATGCCTTACAGAAGCCCCCAGGGAGCCGGATACATCTCAAAAATACGTGGGAAACGAACATATCTTTCTGCCCCAGTTTACATGTATAATTCCAAATTGTACAAAAATCTGAAAGCTGGTAGATTGTTACCTCTAACCACCAAACTGATACACCCAGACCAAGTGGGGTTTGTTAAAGGGCGACAAGCTCCTGCTGGCACTAGACGTATGGTTAACCTTATAGCACTAGCAAACAAACACAGATTGCTTTCTCTGCTACTTAATTAAGGCCCCATTCCCACTAAGCGATTTATCGTGCGATTTCCGCCGCGATATCGTGCATTTTTGCCGCGCGATATCGCGAGAAGACGCCGTCCAATGCTATTCAATGGAGCTGTCTTAGCTTCATGCCGCTCGTCACCCGTCACTGTCGCTCCAGCAGGACCTTTTTTTCTGCGGATTTTGCGCGACTTTGCTATTTTTTAATGGAACCCGACGGTGAAGGTCGCGCGGATCCGCCGCTAAAGGTAAGGAATGGGGCCTTCACACTGAGATGCTGAGAAGACATTTGATCGCGTGCATTGGGAGCATATGTTCCAAACGCTTAAACGGTTTGGGATACATGGAGATATTAATTCGGCCATAAGGCCATTATATTCTAACCCCTCCGCACAGGTCCTATCCTCGGGCATGCTATCTCATTCCTTCAACATCTCAAATGGGACCAGACAGGGGGGACCAGACAGATGGGACCAGGCAGGGATGCCCCCTGTCACCTATCTTGTTCTTATTAGCTATAACAGTTAGAAATAACTCTAATATTCATGGGATAACAGCTGGTGGGTCCGACTTCAAAATCGCACTTTCGCGGATGACATCATATTATCCCTAACAGAACCGGTCTCTTCCCTAACAGCTGTACACTCGACATTACAAACATTTAGTTCTGTATCCTACTATAGAGTAAATGCGGAAAAGTCACAAATACCGGATCTAGTGTTACCCCCTACTATGAGAACTTCACTCCAAACTATGTTCCCTTACATCTGGGCTAATGAAAAAAAAATCCCATACCTGGGAGTACACCTAACTGCTAAAACCGAAGCCCACTATAAACATTAGACATGTGCGATTCGTTTCGTTCCGAATCGAAATTCGGACGAATTTTCGGAAATTCGGACATTCGGATGTATCCGAATTCCGAATTATAGACATAACTAATGCAAACGAATCCGAATTTCCATTTCCGAAATTCGGTAGCGTTCGTACAAACGTTCGTTTCGTTTTCTGTTCTTATTCGTTTCTTATTCGTTTCTTATTCGTTTCTTATTCGTTTCTTATTCGTTGGAGCAAAGTGACATTAGAGGAGAAAAATATTTTTTCCCCCTCAAATGTCACTTTTGCTGCAAACGAACGAAACGAATAAGAAACGAATAAGAAACGAATAAGAAACAGAAAATGAAACGAACGTTCGTACGAACGCTACCGAATTTCATCCAAATCCGAATTCCGAATCCGAATTGACTTTCACACCCGAATCCTGAAAAACGAAATAACACAAATCCGAATTTAAAACGAAACAAATTTTTTGGCAGTGCACATGTCTAATAAACATAATTATCAAATCTTATTGGAACAAATCCAATCTGATCTGGCTTGTATCGGTCAATTTGAAATCTCATGGCACGGTAGAGTAGCTGCATTTAAAATGTCAATACTACCAAAAATTCTGTACTGCTTTCGCACTCTACCTATTCCATTACCGAACTCATTTTTTCACACCCTACATGCTATCGTTGGCCGGTTTGTGTGGAATGGAAAGAGGTGTAGAATTTACCGTTCAAACATAAACGTCAAGGGGGAATGGGTTTTCTGTCTCTGAAAGCATGTTATCGTGCATCCATTCTCGCTCAGACCAAAACTTGGTTCTTGAAGGATAATGATAAAATGTGGTACAAAATCGAGAAATGCATGATGAGCAAGGGAGATCTTGTGAACTGGTTATTTGCTACTCATCTAGACCGCTCACTAAAACCTCCCACTTCCCCCACCATCAGGGCCACCATATCTAATTGGCAGTCAGTATTAGGTGATCCAACCTTGTGCACAACCACTACCACTCTGGAAACCCCACTGCAAGTATACGAAATTGCAATACCATATTTGGACTTATGTAAGTGGAGAACTGGAGGATACTCTTCTCTTCCTCCTGTGCAAAGACTTAGTAACATTCATGGATAGTTTCCAATACTCCCAAATTACACACTACTGTTCCAGGAACCGTTTAGGAGATCTTCGTGCTCCCAATAAACTGTGGACTATGTTATCGTCTCCATCGTCGGCGAAGATCATTGTCTCTTCCTGCTACAGTTTTTTACTTAAAGGAGAACTATGAGGGGGAGTGCTTTTCACTCACCTCATAGTTCTAGCCGACCTGTGACAATGAGACTGTCACAGGTCGGCTCAGTAGATCGGGAAGTGAGCGAACACATACCGACGCTCGCTCACTTCTCGATCCTGTCACGGCTCTCTGCCGTGACAGGGGAGGGACTGGATTCCCCCTTCCCCGCTCCGATCCTCCAGCGCTGACTGGCGGAACGGACGGGGGAGGGTACAGCTGGCTCTGCCTCTAGATTGGCAGAGCCAGCTGTCACTCACGCAGCTGGGCGGATCCAGGCATAATTGTCTGGATCCGCTTCAGCTGCGGCGTCTCAGTATACCGCGAGCTGTAGCTCCCTATATACTGAGCTTTGGGTGATGGGAGGACGCTAGTTTGTGTCCTCCTGTTACCCTGAGGAGAACTATGGGGAAAAGCCCTAACCCCATAGTTCTCCTTTAATTTCTCCTCCTTTCAAAAACGTCCATATATGACTAAGTGGGATTCTGATCTATCCATAAACGTAATGACGGACAATGGCAAGGAGCCATTAAAGCCAATATCCTATATTCTAAATGCATTACAAATTGGGAAATATCCTACAAAATTTTAACTTGATGGTATCTTACTCCGTTCCGTCTCTCCATGATGTTCCCTTCTCAATCAGCACTCTGTTGGAGAAACTGTGGACGAATAGGTAGCTTGTCCCATATTTTCTGGTCGTGCAACAATCTACGTAGTTATTGGAATGAGGTTTTCAAATTACTAGCTACTATAACTGGCATACTTACCGTATCTTCGCCACAATTAGCCTTATTAAACGTAGATATACATTTGAACCCTAAAAACTACCGTTTAGTTATCATGCATGTCCTATTTGCAGCAAGACATCTCATCGCTAGTTCATCAAAAACACCTATGGCTCCATCTATACCAAAAACAATCTATCGTGTGCAAACCTACTGTCTACCTAATCTAAGTTCCACTACCGATGGGATGCATGGCTGGTGTTTATGAATAATAAAGCACAATAACGATTCCGTGTTCCATCTTAAACCATATAAACGAACTCTAGGATATTTTCCAATGATAGTTATGTTACCTCATATATAAAACAACTTTCATTGTGCTATATTAAAGACTATTACTTTGTACTCATGAGAGATAACACCTTACCTTCCTCCCCCCTCTTTTCCTTCACCTTTGCTTTACTCATACTACAGCCCACCTCAAGCCGATACTCCTACAGGTATTTTGTACCGATGTCTCAGGAGTCCCTACTGGAGTAGCGGGCGCTTGCTCATCTCCCCCCTGTCCTGCCCTGCTTGTGCTTAGATCAAGGGTCTGGTTAGGAATTTTAGGGGGGGACAAAGCTCATTTTTGGGCTGTGGGGATCCTCCCTAAAAGTGCTGCCACACCTTAAGGGTGTGGTATGACTTTTGGGGGAAACTCCATGCTTTTTTCTTCTATTTATTTAAACGGGATCCCTCCTAACATTGGTCTGGTATTGTTTGGGAGAGGGAACCGCACCATATTTAAAGGAATTGTTCATTTTTATTGTTTCACTTTAAGCATTGTTAAAATCACTGCTCATGTCCCCCAGGGCAGTACCATGATCCACATACATGTCCCCCAGGGCAGTACCCGGATCCCCATACATGTCCTCCAGGGCAGTACCCAGATCCCCATACATGTCCTCCAGGGCAGTACCCGGATCCCCATACATGTCCCCCAGGGCAGTACCCGGATCCGCATACATGTCAACCAGGGCAGTACCTGGACCCTCATAATTTCCCCACAATTGGTCTGGTATTGTTTGGGAGAGGGAACCGCACCATATTTAAAGGAATTGTTCATTTTTATTGTTTCACTTTAAGCATTGTTAAAATCACTGCTCATGTCCCCCAGGGCAGTACCATGATCCACATACATGTCCCCCAGGGCAGTACCCGGATCCCCATACATGTCCTCCAGGGCAGTACCCAGATCCCCATACATGTCCTCCAGGGCAGTACCCGGATCCCCATACATGTCCCCCAGGGCAGTACCCGGATCCGCATACATGTCAACCAGGGCAGTACCCGGACCCTCATACATGTCCCACAGGGCAGTACCCAGATCCCCATACATGTTCCCCAGGTCAGTACCCGGACCCCCATACATGTCCCCCAGGGCAATACCCGACTCCCCATACATGTCCCCCAGGGCAGTACCCGGACCCCCATACATGTCCCCCAGGTCAGTACCCGACTCCCCATACATGTCCCCCAGGTCAGTACCTGGACCCCCATACATGTCCCTCAGGGCAGTACCCAGACCCCCATACATTTTTTATGACCTATAACTTGCATATAAGCCTTTAAAAAGGGGACATTTGATTTTCCGAGTTCTGGTCCCATAGACTTTCATTGAGTTCAGGTTCGAACTTTTTCCATGTTCTAAAGTTCGAACTCGAAATGAACTCGGGGATGTTCAGGTCATCACTAATTGCCACTGGGTTCAAGTTAACTGAGCAGTGAACCCCTCACAAATGTTTTAATGGAAACACAAACTCTTTACACCATCCTCTGTTACAATTCTGACCTTTAGGAAATGTCTGTTTCACTTACAGCCCTGTGCAGATAGGAATGTAACAGAGTTTACACTATGATATCCCTTCAGAGAGGCAAAGTTACCGTATATACTCGAGTATAAGCCGTCCCGAATATAAGCCGAGGTACCTAATTTTACCACAAAAAATTCTATTTGATGTATTCAGCTTAATAAATATGGTTTTAACTGAAGGATGGTGCAGGAAATATTTACAGAAACAATATTAAAAAATTTAAATGAGTGGCCAGATTATTATGACCCCCCCATCAGTACTTCGTTGGACCGCCTGGTGACTCCACGAGATGATGAAAGGTGATGCGAGGAATCTGACACGGCACTGTTGCCCTTCTGTTGTCTTGTACCAGTCTTGCCCCTCCCCCGTTCTGCCCTAACATTGACTAGTCGCTGACGACCACAATTCGCACGTTCAGACCCAGATTTTCGGCTGACAGTCAGGTCTTTAAACACTTTAACAATGAGCTGCTCCTGAACATGTAACGAATTCTGCTGTTTTGCTGATACTCGCTCCATGGCTCCGAGCGCCAACAATCATCCCGCGTTCCAAGGCTGTTAAATCGCGTTATTTCCCCGTATCTTCAGAAACAAATCACTTCTACTGTCGTGGTAACCAACCTGCTTCCCTATTTATAATGGTCTGGCCCTCTAGCAACTTCAGCGCCAAATTATAGCTCATTTGCCTACAAACGTCAGGTGGTCATAATAAACTGGCCACTCAGTGTATATAATAATCCGGCCACTCGGTGTATATAATAATCCGGCCACTCGGTGTATATAATAATCCGGCCACTCAGTGTATATCTGTGAAGGTTCTCATTCATCCAGGTCACATGGTTTATCTGTAAAAAATAAGTCAAGGCAACTGGACTTGCTGTATTTTTCTTGAAGACGTTTTACTGGTCATCCGACCAGCTTTCTCAATTCAGAATGACTCATACAAAAATTATCTGGGAATAAATATAGTAAATGTCGCTCCAATCCACATAATCTGTGTAACCAGATGTTGATTGCATTTGCATAATCGGAGTCTAGGAGGTGTTAATAACCTGCTCAGAGAGATGTTTTAAAAAAGCATTGTATGTGGCAGACAATAGATGTCTCACCCCCTCCCCCACCCCTCTATTCAAGCTTGGCTTCTCCATCTTTACATAAATGGCCTCTTTCACACCTTTTTTAAACCAGTCCTTCCCCCTGTCTAGGATGTGTACTTGACTGTCTTCAGAGGAGTGACCTTTTTCCTTTAGATGTAGGTATACTGCTGAATCCTGACCAGAGGTTTTGGCTCTTCCATGCTGTGCCATACGCTGGTGTAGCTGCTGTTTCGTCTGCCACATACAATGCTGTTTTAACACCTCTCTGCAATGAACACCTGGTTATGACTAACAGATTGTGTGGATTGGAGCAACATTCACCATATTTATTCCCAGATAATTTTTGTTCAAGTCATTCTGAATTGGGAAAGCTACCAGTAACAAAGTAAAAACAGTGAAGCGCCACGGACTGTCAGTCCTTAATGGGAATTGCTTTTAGGCATACTGCAGGATGCTGCCCCAAAGAAGCCAGGAAAGCTGGAAATCTAGGAAATAAGCACATGATTCGTTTTTTTATTGATGTTTATTGAAATTAAAGTGATCTACACCATGAAAGGCGCCCCTTTTGTGCTTATTTCCTGAATTGGGAAAGCTGGTCGGATGAAATGTCTTCAAGAAAAACACAGCAAGTCCAGTTGCCTTGACTTATTTTTTTACAGATACCAATTATAAAAACAAAATAAGATGAAAAATAACAATAACATTTAAAAAGTACCTAAGTTTAGTTTGCCTGTATTTTGGTTCCATGCAAAGTCGAATTTGCTTGTCCAAGTCCAATCGAAGCTACAGAGTCACTGGCCCTCATAAAATGTTCCCCATTGGCCCCAATGTTGCTTTTTGATGCTATGGTAAAATGAGAGCCCTGAGCTGCCAAATGCAGCAGCTTTTTCTTGTTCTTCAAGAGGGTTATACACAATTAGTTTGAAGATGGTGTCTATAGGTGTGCTGGAGTATTTCTTTATACTCAGAAGGCACACCCTTATTGGCAATTATCCTAAATAAATCTATATTTCCGGAGTACAAGGTTTCACATTCTGAAAACAAACATTCCATTTAACAGAAGGAAATTACTATTTGTTAGAAATTGTGTACAAT